AGCTCTCGTCAGGATAGAAGGAAACATGGATGGGGCAAAATACTGTCAAATTCTTGAGGAAAATCTGCTGCTCTGCCAGAAAGCGGTCAATGGGAAGAAGGTTTACCTTCCAACATGACAAAGACCCAAAGCACACAGTGATTGAAGGAGAAGAAGGTGAATGTCTCTGCATGGCCTCGTCAGAGTCCAGACTTAAACCCCACTGAAAATCTGTGCAATGACCTGAAGACTGCAGTCCACAAACACTCACCGTCAGATTGAACTGAACTTGCAAATATTGCAAAGTCTAGACGTGCAAAGTCAGTAGAGACAAATCCCAACAGACTAAAGGCTGTAATTAAAGCAAAAGCTGCTTCAACAGAATACAGACACAAGCGGCTGATCCTCAATGATTCTGTTTTTTATTTGTTTTTCTGACATGTTGGTGTTGTATCTTTCACTTGGATGTTGTAAGTTGCACTGAGTAAATACAGCTGGATAAAACAAAAACTGCATCCGTCTTCATTTCAGACTGCAAAGCAACAACATGTGATTATTTTAAAGACAGCTGATTCTTTTCTAGACCCACTGTATGTCAACATATTACTTGATCACCTCTTGATGTCAAAACCCTAAAACGAAATGTGTCAAAGGCTCGGGTTCAGACCTCAAGCAAAATGTTAGTAATTTCCTTGTTTACAAATGTACTTCAGTCAATTGCACACCGATCTCTACTCTATAAAACAATCAAACATGTTTCCACAGCTTATCAGTGCTGGCTTATTTAGTTACATTAATGCATTTTCCAATGCCAATTCAATAAAACAAAAGTTATGTGCATTTTTTAAACATGATTAAGTTTGATCAACTACCCATAAACAGTTTGTGTACTGTCATGCGCTTTACAATGTCATAACTGCTCATGCATTTCATAATAAAATACTTTAACTGCATAAATGAAAACATGACACCTGTATAAATACATTACATCATCACAAATCTCTAAAAATACTGATAGGAATTACTGAGTAGTTTCTTGTCAATATACATGCTAACTACAACTGCCAAGTGACCATCGTGCCCCTTCAGTCTTCTCACAAAACTCAAAGTCCTACACTTCAGTCCTACAGTCCAAACAATACAGTAACAGAGTTACTACAGAGTTACTGCTTCTCTTGTATCGCACAGTCGCCTCTGGTTTGCTCACAACACTGTATGAGAGTAAAGCTGCTGTGAAGTTACCGTGGTGTAAACCAATACTGCGACCTCTCTCAAGATTAGCTAAATAATCCACAGCATTATTGGAACAAATTTGACAGAAAACTACATTTAAATAACCGTTTCAGAACTTCTTCCCAGTATTGAGCCTTACTGAACAGCCACCTGCATATGTTGTGTTTTAGGTGCTGGTGTCTCTGAACTGTCTCGGTCAACAAGTTATGTTTTGTACGACTCTTCTGGTCCAGCAGATAGGCCAGCACCAGTCCAGCTCTAATCAGCATAAACCAGTCTGGAGCTGGAGACTGATGCTGGTCTTTCAGCAGTATAATCGTGTGCGGTCACTGCAGTGAACTGTAGAATATAGAACTGATGTTTGTGATGATGCTTCATGACAATGATCTAAAACACGTTACTAAACCAACACGGAGTGGTTACACAAGACATTCTAGATTGTCAAACATCCCAGTTCTTAACCCTTGTGCTGCTGAAAATCCATTACCTAACTTGGTGTTCCCAGTCAGAAACGACCAGCCTTTGAAAAATTGCTTGTAAATCTCTCGTTATGCTACATTATCACCACTGTCAGCTTGTTTTCTTAGCACAGGTTTTGTATTTCTTTTTGGAACTGATTAGTCGTAGGCCTCATTGATCTGAGCTTATGCTTCTCAGTTTTTAGATATGGCATAACGAAAAATTCATGAGCATTTTTTGTAGGCTGGTCATTTTTGACTGGGAACGCCACAAGTGTAACAAGGCGAGAAACAAAATACCTAAAAAGTACAAAAATCACCAAATATTTTAGGGAAGTTGTTATACCCTGTGTGAGCTTTCTTTTTAGTCTAACTAGCATTTTCAGGAGTCAAGTCAGCTTTATTTCTATAGTGCTTTATACAATACAGGTTATTTCAGTGATGACAACAGAATTAAATTCTGCTGCAAAGCAGCTCTAAAAAGACAACAGTAAACGGTCATTATTCAGTTCTCATCCAATAGTGTCTGTGCAATCAAGTCAATAATATTGCTGAATATTGAGGAAAAAGAAAATCCTCTCTGGGTCAAAATGACACAACATGCTTTACTATACATTGTTTATTTAATGAGGGTGTATTGTATTGTATTGTATGATGTAAGACGTATCATTATATCAAAATATATATAATTTCTTATACTCTTATTCCAATGTTATTCCAATCAAAGTGGCAACACAATGATAGAATGGGAAAAGACACGATTTTCTTTCTGACGAATCAATAAAATGTGTCCCTTTGAACTGGGCCAACATCCTCTCATTATATCACTCAGAGAGACAGGCTAAAGCCGCAGGAGAACCAGGACCCGTTTGAGGACCTTCAGGAGTTATGGCCTGCCACATAGAAACCTGCAGGAACGGAGGCCTGCTGGATTTTCCATAAAACACTCTAGGTATGAATCACAGAGCTGTTTCCTGAAAACACTACTGTATACTGTATTTACTATTGCATATCATTGCTGACTGTCTTTACAGACGGGCCTGTTATGTAGACGTTAACAAATTTCACTTAACTAAGCAAAAAATAGATTCCAATCCTGACAATAACCTGCATCATCAAAGGCTGATTTAACTGTGATTACACTGATTTTGTGAAAACAGTTGTTTTGTTTAAAATATGTTTGCTTGAAAAAAAGCTCATAACCGCATTACAGTTCCATAAGAGTTTATTTCATTTCCCAAATAAATATATGACAAACAGTGGGATAAAAATGGCAATGCCCATTATCTTTTTAAATGAAATTTGCTTTTATCTATAGAAAGCATGACGCTCAGTCTCACACACACACACACACACACTCAAACACACACACACACACACACACACACACACACAAACACACACACACA